TTTCGTAAAGGTTCATAGAAGTACAGGGAATTTAATAAAAGCTCAGGGAACTTCGCAGAAGTTCGGTAATCTTTGTAGCAGCTCAGTGAGCTTCATAGAAGTTCAGGTAATTAGTATCGTAGAGATTCAGAAAACTTCTTAGACTGTCTGGGATCTTCGTATCAGTTTTGGGAACTGCATGGCAGTTTGTCAGTGAACTTATTTCAATAAAGGTCAAAGATCTTTCTGGAATTTTTTGAATCATGAAATTCGTAGAAAATGTTCCGGGTCTTCCCGGAAGTTTGGAGGAGCTCATGGATGTTCTGAGATCTTGTTCGAATTAAGAGAGCTTGGAAAAATAAATTATGAAAATTCGAACAAGTATGAGCTATAGGAAATTCATTCAAGTGGTAGTGGTGGCAAACGTGGTAAACATTCTGTAGTAGTTTGTATAAGCTATGGAAAAAACCTAAGAAATACAGGGAACTTAATAGAAGTTGATGGAACTTAATGAAAGTTGATGGAACTTCCCAGGAGTATGCGAAACTTCCCACAAGTTCAGGGGACTTCATAAAGGCTCACGGAGCTTCCGATAAAATCAAAGGATTGGAATGAAATTCAGTGAGCTTCGTTCGAGTTCATGAAACTTTGTGGAAGAACAGGAACCGTCATAGAAGTTCAGGATGCTTCGTTGATATTTAAAGGTTTCCCAACTAACATTTTCAGCTTTATAAGCCAACTTTTGCAGCATTGTGCTGTAAAGTAGCTGAAAAAAAAGCTGCAGATACAGCTTCAAGTAGAAGCTATCAAAATAGTTTTGGAGAGCGTTTACTCAACTTTTTCACAAGCTTTATTCAATTTGTCAGTCGCACTGAAAAACAGCAGCCAATAAACACTAATACCACTTCTATGCAAATATTAATCAACTTTCAACTTGTAGCTGCAAAACACATCCAACCATCGCAACATACGCAACCATCTACCCATGCTGAATAACATAAACATCAAATGTGCTTTTTCAACAACTAAACAACCTGTACTCAGCTAATAAACTGTGTTAGTGCTACTTTGGAAGCATTTTTAGAGTCAACTAGGTTTATTTTTAGACGTGTGCAGTTTTACATCTTTTAATCTACTCCTTTACAAAGCTGAAGTAACTAGTCGAGAAAGTGATTCTCTACTCAACGGTATTATTGTAGAAAGTCATGTATATTTGTTTATGTCAGTTCAAAGTGTTGGCGTAGCGAAGTTGGTAGTGTTAAGGTTTGCCAATACGGTCGTCTCGAGTTCGATTCCAGGTTTCTGGTGCAGGGAAAATAATTTGGTGGTGTACTTATAACTAATTTCGATTTATTGGTTTCTCTCAGCAAAATAAACTCAATCTATTCCCCTCCAACAAAAAAAGCGTTAATAATATTTAACCCGGCTTCAAGAGAAAGCTGTGTACTGGTTATTGGATAAACGGGAAAAGCTTGAATAAGCGCCTTTCAAGTTCGCACACAACTAATAAACAGCAGGATAACAGCTGTATAGAAGCGTAAATGGAAATGCAATAAGAGCTTGTTCCAACCGTCCAAAAGCCATAAGTAGCTGACTAAGTTCGCCAGATTTGCTTGTATAGAGGTTGAGTAAAGATTGCATCATATCGTATAACGTTTGAATACAGCTTGAGGCTGTATAAATGAAACGAGTAAAGCGTTTACATTGTGGAAATTATTAGTTGGGTAGTAGGCGTTGTGCCGCATACTTGTAGTTTACCCAAGGGGTGTTCAACCATAGAGGTAACTCTAAGACTAGAAGGTCCCGAAATAACGTGCTCAACTTTTTGGCTCAGCTCTGGTACTCTCTTCGGTCCCAAGCTAATCGATTCACCCCTCGAAACATAGGAAAAACGAATAACCCCACATTTCATCTGTCAAACTTTCACAGCGAATCAAAACAAACATTGCGTAGTACTAGAATTTCGACTAGAATGGAATACGTTAATCGTTTGCTTGGGACCAATAGGCTTGATTAGCCTATTAGTGAGCCAATTTAAAATCGTTAGTTTCGTATTGATTGTTGGTTCAACTCTGCACATCCCAATCTGTGCCGAGTACTAGCAATCAAGCTGTCAGTCTCAGTAGCCGATGAGTTTGGCAACCCTGCACTTATGACTTTTGAGATTGTGAGTTTACATTTTCAAGCCAAGGACGGAAAAAGGTCGTGAGACAGATTCCCAAGATAATATTCACCGAGCTAGTTGCAGGTCATCAGCTTCAAGGAAGTGGCACTCGATGATTAGGCCCCCGCGAGAAGGAGAAGGGTGACTGATGGCAAAAGCTGTCTATCCACAGGAGAAGACAGTCCTCTACCGTGTGTCATTCTGGCAGATGTTTTCCGAAGCCAAGTACCCCATCTGCAAGTGGAAGATGAATTTTGTCTGCAAAATCATCATGCTACTCGGGCAATGTTACAATCTGAAAAATAGGAATGACTCGACCTAAAATGCCCACCGGCGGTAGTAGTAGCAGCAGTAGACCTGCAGTAGCTTCCCAGTGTCAGCAGTCTTGATTAGGAACTAAATTCGTCTCACTCAATACTGGTTGCAGTCGTTTGATGACTACCTTGTTGTTCCTTCATATTTTCGATCCTTGGTCATGCTGGAATCGCATATTAATCTCCTTGAAACTGCTGCCAACTCCGATTGCGTTCATTAAGACCGCGATTCAGATTGGCGCTGTTACCTCCGGTGTTCTGTTAGCAGCATCTTTCTTAATGTAGAGCGTAGAGAGACCTCCACAGTCAATCGAATCCGAGTTCAGTCGATAGAATGAGCTGAACGGCTGATTGATTGGTGAACCATCAATCGTACCGGGGTGTTCTGCGGGAGAAACAGCTGCGATTGCAGATACATCTGAAGAATGGTAGGATCGTTCGGCACCGGGGTGTTGTAAACTCCGTACATCGAGTTGATACTTAATTCTAGATGATTCTGTCCTATTCTGTGAGGCATGATGACCCTGACTAGTTCGTTTGGACTTCCCTGAAAGTCTGAAACTATGGACATCTCTCAAAAGCCGTGTGTGTTTCTGTAGAGGTTCATCCCCCAGAAGGCATAAGGACAATAAAGAGAGCCTCGTCAATTATACAATCTCTTATTATGATTGGGGACAATTTCGCTGGAAAATGGCATTGACAAAAAATCTCTTACTTTGAAGTAAACGAAGAAGTAAACGAAGAAGTAAACGATTGGCAAAATGTCAAAAATTTTGCTGGAAATGGCACTGACCAATACAATCCAATGTCATCGTGTGCCATGACCCGCCGATCAGTGTGCCACGACGTGTTTTGGCACAATGTGCAGAGTTGGTTACCTCTTGAGTTTACCCGGTGTTAGAGGGGTACATTGTCGAAGGAACGGGTCAGGGAAGGAACTTGGGGGTGGGGTTTTGTTGTCTCATAAGAGCGTTGTCACCAGTATATGAACGGTAGTGCGGATCTAGATTCAACTTCGTCTGGAATTCGAGCGAGTGTGGTAACCAGTGGGCGATGATGTGACTCATCGAGATGGCGGGACAAAACAAACAAAACTCTTCTAAGACTATTCTCTAGCTAATAAATTATCACAGCTTCATGTTAGATAGCATTTCCAACCAAATCTGAAAATCGCAAACTTCGCATATGGAGTAACATAAAAACACTTTGAATGAAAGAAAAACAAATATCAGCATCTATTTGCTTCTTGCTGAAGGAGGCGTTGCTGCTACCTAAAGCTACAACAAATTTAAACAGCACTACTACATTGGCTGACTCTTATTCCTCTTTGATCCTTGTTTGGATCCTACCCGGGATAATCCTGCTTGGCCATCGACTTGGAAAATTCCTCTTCCATCCTTCGGATTATTATAGCAATTTGCGTGACATAATTAATGGACCATCCCATAGTCTCAATGAACGACTAGTTTTTGCTAGGAGTTCCAATTTTTTGGTCAAGTCAAGTGAAATATAATAGATTACCCAACAAACAATTTGAGCTGAGTAATAGCTGAACAAGCCATTTTTTATTTGAAGAAGCTTATTTTTGTCTCAATAAGCTCTTATACAACTATCAATGTTTGTTGGGTAGTGCTTGACAAAAAATTTACTTGTAAAGATAACATTGAGGTCATTCAAGCCAAATGTAACAAATATATAAAATGTTTGTATCTTTTTATAAACATAAAATCCAAACTTTGCCTGAAGAATAAACTTCAAATATTTAAACAAGTCTTTAGACCGGCCATGCTTTGTGCTGCGCCAATATGGTCTAGTTGTTGCACTACCAGGAAAAAAGCACTTCAAAGGATTCAGAACAATGTTCTGAAGATGATTTTAAAGTTGCCTCCCTGGTACAGTAATACCGAGGTACATCAAATTTCGAATGTTGAGAATTTAGAACAAATGTTTAACAAAATAATTATTCATTTCAGGAGAAAATCGATGCAATCTTCAATTAATTCCCTTTATACTTAGATAAGATTTAGTTTTAGTTTATAGTTTTAAGATGACAATTGTTAAACTGACATACAGGTTTAGAAAACCTGTTTAAAATACTGATTAGCCTAGGCAGGAACAATGTAAAAACACTTAGATATATATCGTAACAAGATTCACTAGCATTTTTTGATCAACCCTACCATATTACCGCTGTCCATCGTCGATCGCGTCCAATGTTTACACCCGTAGTAAGCATTCATGTGACCAGCTGTTCGCGCCTTGTATACATTCATCGAAACTGTGGACATTCTTATTTCCTATCACACGTACATTAATACCAAAATTTGTGAGGTTCATTCATAACAACACACACTAATTCATACTTCACCCCACCAATACACTGTGAAACCTGTTTTTGAACCACCCAATGAAAACGATCGTCCCCGTTTCCCAGCGCCCGACTTCGTATGATGTTCATTAATGTCCCAGTTCTCGTCACTGACGGTCGCATTTTTAAAGACCGTGCGCTTTCGAGCTGTAGAAAAACGTCCACGCGGCGTTTGGAATTGAGCATTAATATCATTTACATCTTCAATGTCTCCGTAACATCGAGTGAATCATTTACCGTAACCACAAGTTTTCTGGTTTCTCCCGATGCGTCCATTTTGCAAGTATTTCTCAATACTTTGGTGTTAATTTCCTATGTTTTCACATGTAGAAAAAGTGTTAATTTTCGGTGTCATTGAAATTCTCTCGGGTAGCAAGCTCAAGTTGCGATTCAGTATCAGTACAGCGTGAGAGTAGGAAAGCGAAAGAGTGTTGATCGTTTTGTAAAAGTGCCAGAGGCGGAAATAGTTTGTCGTGAAAGTGAATTCGTGTTTTAGCGGTGATCATTTGAATCGCAGATTTTCAAAGTTGTGCACCCTGTGATCGCTGAGGTTGCATCCTTAAACGCAAGCAAGCCTTGCTACGAAACTGGCAACTACTGATCATTGTTTGAATTTTGGTAAGTTTACTCGATGAGATTGCTACTTCATAGGAAATTAATACGCGCTGGTTTTAGTACCCAGACAGTAAACCTTATCAGCACAATTTCGTAATAATCAAGCTAAACCGTTATCAGTCTCGATGCAAGTCAATCGAACTGTATTCAGTTTCGTTACCCATGGAATAAAGCTTCCGACCTACCAAACCTTCGCCGAGCACGATTGCCGAGTTTCGCCTTTGGAAGACTTTTCCTTCGTTCCAAGTGAGTGAGGGCAATGGTCGGCGTTTGTGAATGTCAGATGACCGATCGTTTCAATTGACTTTGGGTGGATGGAAAACGTGCGGGAAAGCACGGACGGTATGGCAGCGGACGGGTGAGGACGCAACTCGATCGCCTATGGCAGCCAGACAGACAGACAGACAAGCCCAACCAGACGGATGCAACGCGAAGACAGTGCAAAGAAGAGGGCCCAACCCAAACTAGAAAGATCTACTTGTTGAGGATGAATCGTTTCGGTATGTAGTTGTGAAACGGGCGGTTACTCAAAAGCACGTGCTGCTGTGAAGAACTCAAAATTCATGCCACACTAGGGTTGATGGTAGATGTAATGCAGAATATCTGTTTCTACAAAATACGAGTGATATGCTTGCAGACATTATTTGAGTGGAATTCAGTAATCTATTATAAATCCATTAGACGATTTCCGTTACGGATGACTGTGTGCTGATAATTTGCTTTTTATTTAATGTGAAGCTCATTGTACCTTTTAAAAATAGAGCAAAATTATTATTAGAATCAGATACAGTAGTTTACTGTTTTGTATGAAATAGTTGGAATTGTGCATGACAATTGACAACTTACTTGTTCCATTTGAAAAAAATCCTCGGTTCAGTTAAACCCGGTTTAGACGGTTCAACTCGGCATTCAACTAACTTATCTGCGATCTGAACGTACATAATGTTGATAGGTGTCCAACTTTTTGTATTCGATTTCAAGTCACTTTAACGTTGACATCGTTAACTACTAGATTGGGAGGTGAGTTAAGTTATTCTCTTGAACTGTGTAAGTTAGGATTTAGACTAGACTGGACATATATTTACTGGAAGCTTCAAACATCAGTCGTTGCCACGAAAAACGGCGAGGTTTCAAAATAAGCCGACTTTTGTCGGAACATGTTAGATCACGCACTTCCAAAATTCACATATATGTGCGATTCAAAATTGATGGTGTTTGTAACAGCTTTCGTGCACCACATCGAAAACAGTTCATGCGTATTCATCACTCAGTCACTTCATCTTTTTAAGCGTGAATTTATTTCAAAGTTGATCATTCTTCTGCAGTGTGTTGGATCTGATAGTCCAATCGATGCCTACATTTTGTTATATTTTTCGAAAAAATCGAAGGTGTCGTGCTTCTATAGAGCTTTTTGACGTTTAATGGTCTTTCTCTATCTACAGGGTGTCTACTCATTTGACTAAATCAAATTATCTTAGTTATACAGGGTTTTTCAGAACTTCAACGAATAATTTCCAAGTTTATAATAAGAATTTAATTTTTGAAAATGCGTTAAAAATATGCCTTTTTTGTAAAACAACAACCGAAATTAACGCAAACGTTTTTAAGACGTGACAATTAGTTTAAAGAAAAGCTTTTCAGTATAAACCATTAAATGTTGAAGATTATCACTGACTCAAAATATTAAATTTCTTGCAGTATGTACAAGGTCAAAATGTAGATCATTTTCAAAGATGAATTATGGAAACAAAATTACATTCTTCACACACTTCAGATCAATTGTTGAAATTTTATAGAAATTCGTAATTTGTTTAATATTTAGAGAGCTTCAGGTTAGCATAGAAAACTTCAGGTAAGACAGGTTAGATAAATTTAAGGAAATCAGTTCCGAGAGCGTTTATAAAGTGTATAACTTAAGGGATTTAATTGAAACTTCAAATCAATTCATTAAATTCCAGTAAGATTTTGTATTGAGGATTTTTTTATAAAAACTACAATAATGGGAAATTCAAGGCGGTATAAAGAACTTTGAGGAAAGTCAGAACTCTTTTGGGCAGTTTTAATAACATCTTGAAAGTCTAGACTACTGAAGAAGTTATTAATTAGTGTGGAAATTTGTTTGGCAGTCCCATCAATTTCAGAAAAATCTACACAGGCGACTTCAATGCGAAGATCGGCTCTGACAACTCGGACTATGATGGCATTATGGGAAACGCCATGGTCTCGGAGATATGAGCGAGAACGGCGAGCTGCGTGCAGAGTTTTGTGGCAACAACGACATGGTGATCGGGAGTTCGCTCTTCCCCCTCGCCCAGTGCATAAGGTCACGTGGGTCTCCCGTGATGGATATATAGAGAACCACATTTACCACATCTGCATCAGCCAAAAATGGAGGCGGAGCCTTCTTTATATTCGGAATAAACGCAGCGCCTCTCCTGGTCGGTGAGATCCGCCTACGCATTGCGCGGGTTCAACGGCGGGAGGAGAGACTCGGGCGGTGATTCAACACGAAGAACTCGAGGCTCGCGCAGGTAATATTCCGAAAGGTGGCAGTGTAGAATAACAGTGGACGAGCATCAAGAATGTCTTTATTGAAACAAGCGAGAGCAACCTGGGTGAGCTGCGCACTCAGAGGAAGGAGTGGATCACCGATGAAACCTGGAGGAAGATCGAGGAGCGGAGAGAAGTAAAAGCCGCGATAGAGCGAGCAAGAACCCGAGGAGCCAAGAACGAGGTCCGTCAGCGGTATTCGGCTCTAGAGAGGGAAGTTAAGCACTCCTGTATACGGGACAAGCGAGCGTGGGTGGACTCCCTGACTGATGAAGGGGAGAAAGCCACAGCAACTGGCGATATCCGCCTCCTCTATGATGTTTCACGACGCCTGAGCGGGGCAAGGATGAACCCAAGGATGCCTGTGAAACACGCGACTGGACAGTTGCTCACCTACCCCACTGACCAGTTGAAACGTTGGTTTGAGCACTTTGAACAACTTCTCGAAGTTTCAACGGTCAACCAACCATCAACATCTCGGCATGATCCGCCAAGGGTGAGGCGCGTTACTTGCGTCAACACTGAAGCTCCATCATTGCAGGAGATAGAAGCAGCCATCCGAAGTACGAAGTCCAACAAAGCCCCGGAGGTTGATCGCATATCATCAGAGATGCTCAAAGCTGTTGCATCAACTATTCGTCAATATCTGGGACCCCGCGACTTTTCCGGCCGACTGGATGCAGGGCGTCTTGGTAAAAGTCCCCAAGAAGGAGGATCCAACTGTATGCGACAACTGGCGAGGTATCATGTTACTGTGTATTGTTCTCAAAGTTCTGTGTTAAGTTATCCTCAATCGGATACAGGAGAAGATCGACGCGACTCTCCGACGGCAGCAGACAGGATTCCGTGCTGGAAGATCCTGTGTGGACCATATTGTCACGTTCCGCATCATCTTGGAGCAGGTCAATGAGTTCCAAGGGTCCCTGTACTTGGTATTCATTGACTACGAAAAAGCTTTCGACCGACTAAACTACGAAAACTTGTGGGGCGCTCTGAGACGCAAGGGAGTCCCTGATAAGATCGTCAATCTCATCGAAGCGCAGTACAAGGCTTTCTCATGCAGAGTGTTGCACAACGGAGCTTTATCTGACCCGATTCGGGTAATCGCGGGTGTGAGGCAAGGATGTATATTATCACCGCTACTGTTCCTCATCGTAATCGACGAGAACATGGTTGGAGCCGTTGACCGTGGGTTGCTGTGGCAGCCTATTACCATCGAGCATCTCAACGACTTCGACATGCAGAGTAAGCTCGACGACCTTGTGGAACGCTCCTCTAAAGCAGGTCTAACCATCAACGTCAATAAGACCAAATCGTTGGATGTCAACACGGAAAACCATTCTAATTTCACGGTAGCTGGGCAGGCAGTGGAGAAAGTCGAAAGCTTCCAATATCTTGGCAGCCAGATAGCGTCGGACGGCGGCACCAAGAGCGACATAGCTGCACGGATTAAGAAGGCGAGGGCTGCTTTTGCTAGTTTGCGAAATGTATGGATGGAGCGAATCAGATCAGTCGACGCACCAAAATCCGAATTTTTAACTCGAACGTGAAAATGGTGTGTATCAGCGGAGAACACTCCGAAGCTGCAGGTGTTTATCAACCGATGCCTGCGGTACATAATTCGTACCTGGTGGCCCCTCAATTGGATCTCACATTCCGAGCTTCATCGTTTTTGCCATCAGAAGCCGATAGAGACAGAAATTCGTGAACGGAAGTGGAGGTGGGTCGGCCACACACTACGACGGAGCGGAAACGAAATCTGCAAGCAAACACTGGAGCTGGATTCCAGTCCAGGACATCGCAACAGAGGCAGACCCAGAGGCTCGTGGCGGCGGAGCCTAAACAGTGAAATTAAGAACGTTGACCGAAATCTGACTTGAGCACAGGTCAAGGCCAAAGCTAGTAATCGCCCAGGATGGAAATCTTTCACAAAGACCCTTTGCACCCCTGGAGGTGCGCAGGATCGTTAAGTAAGTAAGTTGGCGGGCAAAACCCATTAGCAAAAGGAGCATTTAAAATAAGTTTAGTAAGCTCCAAAAATATTTCACGGGGAGATCTGAAGATTAGTGGAAATTTTTTAGAAGTTCTCAGCTTTTCAGAGAATTATTGAGGTCTTCACATAAGTTTAGATGTTCAATGATGCTTAAATTTTTAAGGACTTTTCAATAAAACGCATGGTAGTACAACAAACTTCATGAGAACTGCAAAAACTTTAGAGCAGTTCGGTTAACATTAGGGAAAATACATACATTTTAAAGAAGTTTCGAGAATTTCAGCGAATTGTTAAAGGTTTAGACAAGAGGAAACTTAATAAACTTAAGGGAAATTGAGGAAACTTAAGAAAAAGTTCAGAGAAGTTTAAAATTGTTATCAGAAGTATTGTGAGCACCAGGATAGTTTCTCAAACTACAAAAGAACTTCCATGTATTAACTTCGAGAAAATTTTGGGAACT